ATGGTGGACTGTGTTGTTTGGGAGGAATAGCACCATTATGGTGGACTGTGTTGTTTGGGAGGAATAGCACCATTATGGTGGACTGTGTTGCTTGGGAGGAATAGCACCATTATGGTGGACTGTGTTGTTTGGGAGGAATAGCACCATTATTATGGACTGTGTTGCTTGGGAGGAATAGCACCATTATGGTGGACTGTGTTGTTTGGGAGGAATAGCACCATTATTATGGACTGTGTTGCTTGGGAGGAATAGCACCATTATGGCGGACTGTGTTGTTTGGGAGGAATAGCACCATTATCATGGACTGTGTTGCTTGGGAGGAATAGCACCATTATTATGGACTGTGTTGCTTGGGAGGAATAGCACCATTATGGTGGACTGTGTTGTTTGGGAGGAATAGCACCATTATTATGGACTGTGTTGCTTGGGAGGAATAGCACCATTATTATGGACTGTGTTGCTTGGGAGGAATAGCACCATTATGGCGGACTGTGTTGTTTGGGAGGAATAGCACCATTATTATGGACTGTGTTGCTTGGGAGGAATAGCACCATTATTATGGACTGTGTTGCTTGGGAGGAATAGCACCATTATTATGGACTGTGTTGCTTGGGAGGAATAGCACCATTATGGCGGACTGTGTTGTTTGGGAGGAATAGCACCTTTATTATGGACTGTGTTGCTTGGGAGGAATAGCACCATTATTATGGACTGTGTTGCTTGGGAGGAATAGCGCCATTATTATGGACTGTGTTGCTTGGGAGGAATAGCACCATTATGGCGGACTGTGTTGTTTGGGAGGAATAGCACCATTATTATGGACTGTGTTGCTTGGGAGGAATAGCACCATTATGGTGGACTGTGTTGTTTGGGAGGAATAGCACCATTATTATGGACTGTGTTGCTTGGGAGGAATAGCACCATTATGGTGGACTGTGTTGTTTGGGAGGAATAGCACCATTATTATGGACTGTGTTGCTTGGGAGAAATAGCACCATTATGGTGGACTGTTTTGTTTGGGAGGAATAGCACCATTATTATGGACTGTGTTGCTTGGGAGGAATAGCACCATTATGGTGGACTGTGTTGTTTGGGAAGAATAGCACCATTATGGTGGACTGTGTTGTTTTGGAGGAATAGCACCATTTTGGTGGACTGTGTTGTTTGGGAAGAATAGCACCATTATAGTGGACTGTGTTGTTTGGGAGGAATAGCACCATTATGGTGGACTGTGTTGTTTGGGAGGAATAGCACCATTATAGTGGACTGTGTTGTTTGGGAGGAATAGCACCATTGTTATGGACTGGGTTGCTTGGGAGGAATAGCACCATTATGGTGGACTGTGTTGTTTGGGAAGAATAGCACCATTATGGTGGACTGTGTTGTTTGGGAGGAATAGCACCATTTTGGTGGACTGTGTTGTTTGGGAGGAATAGCACCATTATTATGGACAGTGTTGCTTGGGAGGAATAGCACCATTATGGTGGACTGTGTTGTTTGGGAAGAATAGCACCATTATGGTGGACTGTGTTGTTTTGGAGGAATAGCACCATTATGGTGGACTGTGTTGTTTGGAGGAATAGCACCATTATGAATGGACTGGAGTTGTACCAGTAGAGATTTTTGTTCCATGTAACCATACGTGTCTACCTATTTATGTATTTTGTGTATAATTTTAAATAATGTACCATTATCACAATAGTGATGTATTATTAAGCATTTTCAAGTAGTGGTATGTTTAGGCATTACTTGTACTTACCTAACTGTGGCTGCAGGGGTAGAGACTCAGCTCCTGGCCCCGCCTCTTCACCGACCGCTACTGGGTCCCTGCTCCATGAGCTTTATCATACCTCGTCTTAAAACTATGTATAGTTCCTGCCTCCATTACATCGCTTGCCAGACTATTCCACTTCCTAACTACTCTATGACTGAAGAAATACTTCTTACCATCCCTTTGACTCATCTGAGTCTTCAGCTTCCAATTGTGACCCCTTGTTTCTGTGTCTCATCTCTGGAACATCCTGTCTCTGTCCACCTTGTCTATTCCACGCAGTATTTTGTATGTCGTTATCATGTCTCCCCTGACCCTCCTGTCCTACAGTGTTGTCAGACCGATTTCCCTTAACCTTTCTTCATAGGACATTCCCCTTAGCTCTGGAACCAGCCTTGTTGCAAACCTTTGTACTTTCTCTAATTTCTTGACGTGTTTGACCAGGTGTGGGTTCCAAACTGGTGCTGCGTACTCCAGTATGGGCCTGACGTACACAGTGTATAAAGCCTTGAACGATTCCTTACTGAGGTACCGGAACGCTATTCTCAGGTTTGCCAAGCGCCCATATGCCGCAGCAGTTATCTGGTTAATGTGTGCTTCCGGCGATGTACTCGTATTATACTCACTCCTAGGTCTTTCTCCTTGAGTGAGATATGCAGCCTTTGGCCACCTAGCCTATACTCTGTCTGCAGTTTTCTTTGCCCTTCTCCGATTTTCATGACTTTGCATTTGGCGGGGTTAAATTCTAGGAGCCAGTTTCTGGACCACACATCCAGCCTGTCCAGGTCTCTTTGTAGACCTGTCTGGTCCGCGTCTGATTTAATTCTCCTCATTAACTTCACGTCATCTGCAAACAGGGACACTTCTGAGTCTATCCCTTCCGTCATGTCGTTCACATGTACCAAGAATAGCACTGGTCCCAGGACTAACCCCTGTGGGACCCTGCTCGTCACTGGCGCCCTCTGTGATACCTCATCACTGACCATGACTCGCTGTTGTCTCCCTGTTAGGTATTCTCTGATCCATTGCAGTGCCCTTCCTGTTATACGTGCCTGTTCCTCTAGCTTCTGTACTAATCTCTTGTGAGGAACCGTGTCGAAGGCCTTCTTGCAGTCCAAGAAAATGCGATCAACCCGCCCCTCCCTCTCATTTCTTACTTCAGTTACCTTGTCGTAAAACTCTAGTAGGTTTGTGACACAGGATTTGCCTTCCATGAATCCATACTGGTTGGCGTTTATAATCTTGTTCTGTTCCAGGTGCTCCACCACTCTCCTCCTGATAATCTTTTCCAAGACTTTGCATACTGTACATGTCAGTGACACTGGTCTATAATTTAGTGCTTCATTTCTGTCTCCCTTCTTAAAGATGGGGACTACATTTGCTTCTTCCATACTTCAGGTAGTTGCCCAGTTTCAAGGGAAGTGTTGAAGATTTTGGTTAGTGGCATATGTAGTGTCCCTGCTCCCTCTCTAAGGACCCATGGAGAGATGTTGTCCGATCCCACCGCCTTTGAGGTATCAAGGTCACTTAGGAGCTTCTCCACCTCCTCCTCAGTTGTGTGTAATTCATCCAACACTTGTTGGTATATCCCTTGTTGCTGTACGCCACTGTTTTGTCTTCCTGTTGTCCCTTCAGCCTCCACTGTAAATACTTCCTGAAATCTCATGTTGAGCTCCTCACATACCTCCTGGTCGTTTCTTGTGAGCTCCCCACCTTTTCTCAGCCTGATTACTTGGTCCTTGACTGTTGTCTTCCTCCTGATGTGGCTGTAGAGTAGTTTCGGGTCAGACTTGACTTTCGATGCTATGTCATTTTCATACTGCCGCTGCGCCTCCCTTCTTATCTGTGCATACTCGTTTCTGGCTCGTCGACTAATCTCTTTATTCTCCTGAGTCCTTTGCCTTCTGTACTTTTTCCATTCTCTAGAGCACTTAGTTTTTGCCTCCCTGCACCTTCGGGTAAACCAAGGGCTCGTTCTGTCCTTCCCATTATTTCTGTTACCCTTGGGAACAAACCTTTCCTCTGCCTCCTTGCATTTTGTTGTTACAAAGTCCATCATTTCGTTTACTGATTTTCCTATCAACTCCTGTTCCCACTGAACCTCCTGCAGGAAGGTCCTCATTCCTGTGTAGTCCCCCCTTTTATAGTTTAGCTTTTCCCTTTCTACTCCTGTTACCCTCTCCACTTTTAGCTCCACGATGTATTCAAAGCTCACAGCTACATGGTCGCTAGCTCCAAGGGGCCTTTAATATGTGATGTGCTCATTGTCTGAGCTACTCAGGGTGAACACGAGATCCAGTCTTGCTTCATCCTCCCTTCTCTCTTTGGTAGTATCCCTAACATGTTGGTGCATGAGATTTGCCAGCACCACATCCATCATCTTGGCTCTCCATGTTTCGGGACCCCCATGTGGCTCCAGGTTTTCCCAATCAATCTCCCTGTGACTGAAGTCGCCCATGACCAGTATCATAGTATCAGATGTTGCCTGGGTTGTTTTGTGTTTATATATAGTGTTACTGATGTTTTCCATGTTCATTATGCATGTTTAAGTGAACGAGGTTTTGATATTGTGTATAACCGGGTGAAAGTGGACAGATAGAAGTGTAAGCAATACTAAGTTTGCACCATTATATTATTTTATAAAAACCTTTGTGCCTGTGTATCGTTGTACTTAGCAACAGAGTGTAGGTTAGGCTAGTTTTTAGAGTCATTACGTATGATGCAGTTATTTAGTAGATTGTGTAGTGATAATTTGTTTTCTTACTCATCATCAGTATCATTGTTACATATTAATATATATGTACCTTCCTATGCAGGTACATGAAGTTTTAAATATAAAAAAAATCACAATGCCGAAAATGTAGTTAATGAATGTGTGTACACAAAGGGAGGAGAGCGATTTATTGTACAGCTAACATACATGTACCCGTTATTGTGATCTGATCCTCTTTAATTATATTGTAAATAACTCACGTTACCTTATTCCCAGTATATCCCCTTTTATTGTTTAAATAGTAAGTTATTACCTCAGTGCAAATAAGTCTTTTTGTCTGACTTTTTTGGGTTATCCTACGTAATCTACACATATGCTGCTATGTATGGTAAGTTATGTAACTGTATTTATGTGTACCTGTACCTCCTGAATAAACGTACTTAATCTAAATCAATGTACTTATTTAAATAATAAAATTGTGTTAGTCTCCTCAATCATGTTCATTTTCTTTTTCAGGAGAGACTGATACAGAAAACGTGTGTCTGAAGAGTGGGACTTTCTCTGCCTTGGCAGGTAAGCTGACTGACTCGCTTGGAAGAAAATAACTATTATTTTTTATTCCTTCTATCGGAGTTGCAAACAAGCTTCATGAGGTGTTCTTCCTTCCTTCATGCAGTTTTGTCTGAGATGGTTATCATGATAATTCCAAAATAACATGAAAATAAGATAGAAATGTACAGGGACACCAATGGAAATATGTCACATTGTCTGACTTTTTGGGGGGCTATCCTATATAATATAATAAAATAATATTATATTATAAGTAATTTAAACATGTTTTTATATATGATAATTGTAATCGCCCAAATTTGTATAACTGTACTTATGTGTCCCTGTGCCTGAAAACTTACTTATAACTTTTTTTTTTTTATTCGCCGGTATTCTTCCATCTTCTCTTACAGTAGTAGTAGTAGTAGTAGTAGTAGTAGTAGTAGTAGTAGTAGTAGTAGTAGTAGTAGTAGTAGTGGTAGTAGTAGTAGTAGTAGTAGTAGTAAAAGTAGTAGTGGTAATAGTAGTAGTGGTAGTAGTAGTAGTAGCAGTAGTAGTAGTAGTAGTAGTAGTAGTAGTAGTAGTAGTAGTAGTAGTAGTAGTAGTAGTAGTAGTAGTAGTAGTAGTAGTAGTAGTAGTACTAGTAGGTTTGAAAGGAAATTAATTTCACTTGAACGAAGAGTTAAAGTGGGCTAGAGCAGAAAAGTCCAATATGAGTCATACAAGTTATTTAAGGTATAAGGTATGTCTGGCTGTTACTGGCTCTTAGGGAAGCATCGCCTGATAATGAGCAGTAGGCGTCCTGTCGGATTTTGACTCTAGGGAAAAAAAATATTATACAGATAGTGGTTGCAACTCCATGGATCCTACGTACATGGATGGCTCAAGGGGTGAATGAAATTATTCTAAAAATGTCTTACAATTTAATAAAAAACATATTATAGAAAATAAAACAAAATTTGGCACAGAGAAGGAAAAATTTACAAGCACGTATGTTAGAAGATACTCGCAAAAGGATCAATCACATAAGGATACCCATTATTAAATCTTGTAATGCACATCTGCATCGACTAAAAAAAAATATTCAGTATAAGGAAAATTATAATTCGACAATGCTGGAAAAGTGGTAAGAGGATACAGGGCAAAACCAAATGACAACTATATAGGTCCTCTCTCATAGCTGGTCTCCAAGAAACTCTGTCATAATAACTGCTGGTCCTGTATGGTCACTCCTTATACCTCATCATGAACGTATTGGGTACTTTCCTGAGCCAGGTGATACAAGTTTCTCACTCAGACCAAAATCTTACTCCTCACTTTTCACATTCTTTATTCAACATGCTTACTTGGTTTGATCTCTGGTTTTACGGTGGCTTCCACCAGGAAACTCAGAGTTCGGCAGGTTCTCTAGTAAATTATTAGCATTTCCTCAGGGTACCTTGCTGCTACTGAACGCTGTAAATATGGTCTGGTTTAGCACAGGATTCATAAAATAACTCAAAGCATATAATGCTATATTAACAAAAAAATAACAGATAGGTTGACAATGATACAGAACACCGACAAGTTGAAGATTAAGATGCTGAGGTAGTGATCATGTGTGGTCATACCTTCCTAAGCTCTTGGGAGTTAGCGTGGGCTGCTACCAAGCACCGTGGCTTGTTGTAGTGTTTTAGAATCTCAGGTTCAAGTGTTGAAGAAGGAGGTTCTTCTTCTTCAGGAGGAAAATAGGAGGCTGAAGCTTTGCATAGATGAGTTTGGAAGCGAGTGTGAGATGGATTTAGCTGGTAAGGAGGAAATGGTCACCAACAGTGATAATGGCAGCCACTTTAAGTGGCAAGTGGTTCACAGTTCAGGAAGAATGAAGATGAAGAGAGTTAATAGAGAAGATGTGAAGGTAGGAAATCGATTATCTGTTCTCCAAGACGAGTGTACTTCAGTGGTTAGTGAGGTTGAAGGTACCACTGATTCCCCTGCTAATCAAGGTAAGAATATTTTAATAGTAGGAGATTCTCAGGTAAGATATATGGACCATGCATTTTGTAACAGAGACAGATAGGTCAGATAGAGAGTGTGCCTTCCTGGAGCTAGTGTTAGTGACATAGTCAGCAGGTTGGATAATATTATGGCAGGTAATGGGAACAAGCCCATTATCTGTCTTAGTGCTGGGGGTAATGACATCGGGAAGGGCAGGAGAAAGAAACTGCTGGATAAGTACAGGTCAGCCATAGAAGTAGTTAGGTCTAAGGGAGGGATCCCAGTCATATGTAGCATCTTGCCTAGAAAGGGAGTGGGCAATGAATGGATGTCTAGGGCAATTGGTATAAATTGCTGGCTAGACAGGTACTTCAAGGAACTTGCAATCCCATTCATTGATAACTGGGACCTATTCTTTGGCAAATGTGATATGTATGCAAGGGATGGGGTTCATCTCTCTGGGGATGGAGTGGTTGCATCAGCCAATTCAATTGAGAGGGTAATTGGTGACTTGTCTAGGAATTTAAACTGATAGATTATAGAGGTATGGGTGTTTGTGGGAAACAATCAGGCTGCAGTATTAGGGTTAAAAACAGCAGTTATTACCGGGATATCTCAGGGATATGTTTAAAAGACAATATTCAAAATAAAATTGCTAGAAATGGCAAATCAATTGATCAACAAATAAAGAGAGATAATAGAGGGCAACGAGTGACTAGCTCCCTTAAGGTTTATTATACAAATAGTAGGAGTCTAAGAAACAAGATAGATGAGCTAAGATTACTTGCAAGTGTAGGTCATATAGATATTATTGGTATAACAGAGACCTGGTTCAACCTGAAAGATAGAGAAATGCCTTCTGAATGCAACACACAGGGTTATAAACTATTCCACACTGATAGGATCAACAGGAAGGGTGGTGGAGTGGCGATGTATGTCAGAGAAAATTTAAATTGTTGTCTTAGACATGATACACGATTAGAAACCTCGAACACAGAATCTGTTTGGCTACAGTTTCTCGAGGGACGTGGCAAATTAATTTTGTGTGTGATTTATAGGCCCCCAAACTTGACAGGGTGTGCAGTAAGCTGTTATGGGACGAAATTCATAAGGCATCTAGATATGAAAATGCTGTGATAATGGGAAATTTTAACCTCAGACAAATTGATTGGAACAATATGACAGGAAATCTTGAGTCAAGTGACTTTCTTGATACGGTTCAGGATTGCTTTTTAGAACAGGTTGTGACAGAACCAACTAGAGGAAACAATCTGCTTGACTTGGTTCTTGCCAACAAAGATTCACTAATTAATAATCTTGAGGTTAATGATGAGCTAGGGGAAAGTGATCACAAATCACTTAGTTTCAATATATCATGGAATTACCCAGATAACTGCAATCAAATCTCTGTCCCAGATTTTTGCTTCGCCGACTTCATGGGACCTGAAAAAATACCTGCGTGGGTTAAATTGGGATGTCCTGACTATGGGTCAGGTAGGTGATCTTGGTTGTCAACATGACTTTTTCAGAGCATAGTTCTAGCTGCCCAGACAACTTTTGTTCCGAGTAGGGAAATTAGATGTAGCAAAAATGATCCCAAATGGATGAACAGTAGATTAAAACATCTCATTGGTCAAAAGAGAGGCATATACAGGCGTATCAAAAGAGGGGATGGGCAGTTAAGAAATCAATATATTCAATTAAAAGGAGAAATAAAGAAAGGAATAAGAAAAGCAAAAAGGAAATGTGAGGCTAAGGTAGCAAGGGATTCAAAGACTAACCCAAAAGGGTTCTTTCAGGTATACAGAAGTAAGATTAGGGACAAGATTGGCCAATTAAGAGTAACTGGTCAGATCACTGACAGTGATAAGGATATGTGTGAAATCCTCAATACCTACTTCCTCTAAGTTTTCACCCAGGAAAATACTAGCGATATTCCTGAAATAATAGATTATGTAGAACGATTGCGGTAACTAGTGACATGGTCCTCAGACAAATAGAGAAACTAAAACCTAACAAATCCCCAGGCCCTGATGAACTGTTTGTAAGGGTGTTAAAGGAATGTAAAGAGGAACTGAGCATACCTTTGGCTAATCTTTTTAACATATCACTACAAACTGGCATAGTGCCTGATAAGTGGAAAATGGCAAATGTAATACCTATTTACAAGGCAGGTGACAGGTCCTTGGCTTCGAACTATAGACCAATAAGCGTTACCTCCATAGTGGGAAAATTTATGGAATCAATAATTGCCGAAGCAATTCATAGCCATCTTGATAGGCACAGATTGATTAATGAATCTCAACACGGTTTTACAAAGGGGAGTTCCTGTCTTACGAATTTACTAACTTTTTTCACTAAGGTGTTTGAAGAGGTAGATCATGGTATATGGTTGATCATGTATATGAATTTCAGTAAGGCTTTTGATAAAGTTCCACATCGGAGGCTATTGAGGTAACTTAAGGCACACGGAATAGGAGGAGAAATTTTTTGCTGGGTAGAGGCATGGCTGACAAATAGGCAGCAGAGAGTTTGCATAAATGGGGAGAAATCATAATGGGGGGACGTCACAAGCGGTGTTCCTCAGGGGTCAGTGTTGGGCCCGTTGTTGTTCACAATTTACATAAACGACATAGATGAGGGAATAAATAGTGACATAAGCAAATTTGCTGATAACACCAAAGTAGGCCGTCCAATTCATTCTAATGAGGACACTAGATCACTCCAGGATGATTTGAATAGACTGATGCAATGGTCGGAGAAGTGGCAGATGCAGTTTAATATAGACAAATGCAAAGTTCTAAATGTTGGACAGGAAAATAACCATGCGACATATAAACTAAATAATGTAGATCTTAATACTACTGATTGCGAAAAGGATTTAGGAGTTCTGGTTAGCAGTAATCTAAAACCAAGACAACAGTGCATTAGTGTTCGCAGTAAAGCTAACAGAATTCTTGGCTTCATATCTAGAAGTGTAAATAATAGAATTCCTCAGGTTGTTCTTCAACTCTATATATCCTTGGTTAGGCTTCATTTAGACTATG